GCTCTACACCTTGTTATCTAGCATAGAAGGAAGCTTTGTCTAAAGACCTGCTGACAACATGACAGTTTGTGTTCCTCTTCCTCACCCTCTCTCCCCCCCTCCCCCAGACTACACAGGCTGAGGTGCCTTATCTTTGAAGTACACCTAACTTAGTAAGCCTTTCCTTCCATGGTCTGTCCCACCCCACTCCACCCCACATCGTACAGCCCGAACGCCCACTTAGGATACTCAGATTGCATCAGGGTGGTTGGCCAAACACACATGGAGAAAAGGATCTGTGCACCACCTTCTGCTGGTCCTGCGAGTAAGTGCTGAGCTTTCACTGAGCAACTCTCTGTAGGCCTGAGGGCAAACCCAAGTTCCGAGTTGTTTAAACAGCTCACGACCTGGCCCCACTGTTTGTGAGCTGAAGTAGTTGGCTGCCATCATTTGTTTCACTGTATTTAATCAGATTAATCCATTAACCAACAAAACCATCTTGAAACTTGATTTTTGAACGTATATATGCATCCCATATGTCTGAATGCAGCTGGTGCTTCACTGGCATCGAGCTCTCCAAGCACTGATCACATTCCTTTCTCTCTCCTAGTGCCAGCAAGACCTCTGAGTACTGGGGGTGCCAGAGTCAGCCCTGGCACCACATCCTCCCTAACTATTCACAGAGCCAAATGGTGAGGATTGACCACCCCTCAATGCTTTATACCTCTCCAGAGTCCAGGACTCTGAGGCCAATCACAGTGTGTTTCATTCCATGCCAATTGAGATCAGCATGAATATTCTTGCATTTTGGAAACTCGTTTATCTGGACTTTCAGGATACTGCTCCCCTGATTAATCCTTCGCCAACTGCCCACCCCTGAGCTAGCGCCTAACACTGGCTAACTCTTTGCCTAATAAGTTTCCCAACATTGAATACAGGAAGAAGGGACCATTCAGGCATGTTCGGCCATTAAGGAAGATTAATGCTGATGAGTGATCAAACCCCATCAGCCTGCCTTTGCTACATATCCTGTAATAGCTTGGGTTAACAAAGCTCGATCAGTCTCACATTTGAAATTACAAATTAACTCATTGTCACTTGCTGAAGAGAGTTCCAACTTGTGCCAACTTTTGTGTGTTGGTCCAAGTGTTGGCTGGTGCTCAAACTGTGTCATTTAGAATGCCCCATTCAGTAGAAATAGTTACCAACTAACAGTTTGAGATTGCATGGTGCAGCCCACATGTCATTTAAATTGTAAGGGAGGAGGAAATGAATACACCCTGTTCACAGCCGATTACACAGTAAGATGATGAAGACCTTGGAGGGTGGAGAAATCCTTTCATGTAGTACAACCTCATATCAATGCACTGATTCTCTGAGGTGTTGGCTTCAACTAAAATAAGGCTTTTAAAGCACAGATTGACTTTTTGATCAAGCGATTGCTTTTGTTTTAAGAATTCTGTTGCATAACAATGGCAATTTTCCTTTCACCAAATACCACACCCGAAGCCTGAAAATTTACTCCTAGCCAGTAAATGCAAAGGAGCCGCTGTGAAGCTCGCTGACTTCGGTTTGGCCATTGAAGTTCAAGGGGAACAACAAGCATGGTTTGGTGAGTGATGCTGCTCCATTTACTACAGTTTTTTCCAGCCATTTGGTGTGTATGTCCCTGTTTTGCTGCGGTCTTGCTAAAGATTGCTTTCATCGATTACCAGATGTCAAGCAAACTTGGTGTTGAAAGCGAAGTTCTCATACTCATCCAATCCTATGTTCTGTGTAGTGAGCTTGTGTTATGACGACGGTTAAAATGGAAACTGCCTGTTCAAAGTTTGAAAATGCTGGGTTATGCATAGGAAAAGAGGCCAAAAATGCCTTTATTTCCTTGGGCCTATTCCAAATGTACCTTGTCCAGGTGTTAACGAGTCCGAAGTAAACATTCGCCATATCAACAGATCCCAGTGAAACTTCTCTTATTGCTGCCAAATGTGTACCATCTGTCTTCACTCTCTGTCCTCTGCTGTGATGTCAGTTCTCATTCCATCCATATCATGTGTCACTTGTTAGTTTCAACTTTTCTTGCCAATCTACAGAAAGAGAGCTTTCTGGTCTCTCGCTCACTTTGCCAAAATGTCTGCTGATAATCCTTGTAAGTTTCAAATCTCCCTACCTTGTACCTCCTAGTTGTGTACCCTGCTGGATGCTCACTCACTGGTTCTGAGAACTCCACAACTCCAGTCAAGTTCCAACTCGACTCTTGGCTTTTTGTGTTGCTGGCACATCTCTTTTTATTTCTCCTTTTTATTTATTCACTCATGGGACATGGGTTTTGCAGACTGGCCAGCATTTTATTGCCCATCCTGAGTTGCCCTTGAGAAGGTGGTAGCGAGCTGCCCCTTGAATTACTGCAGTCCACATGATGTAGGTTGACCTACAGTTTCCCTCAGGGAGAGAATTCCAGGATTTTGACCCAGCGGTGATGAAGAAATGACGATAGATTTCCAAGTCAGGATAATGAGTGGCTTGCAAGTGGTGATGTTCCCATGTATGTCTTGTCCTTGTCGTTCTAGCTGGAAGTGTTTGTGGGTTTGAAAACTGCTGTCTCTTGGGTGATAGATCAGCCTTGGCCTCAGTAATAACATCGTGTTTAACCTCGTGTCAAAAATCATGGATCCAAATCCTACTCCAGGTCCGACTTACACGTCACAAGTATTTATTGACCCAAAAAATTTTGAGACATCCTGAGGATGTGCAACGTGCACGATAAACCCTTGTTCTTTTTACTGGTAGTTGAGTTGGGTATGCTAACAGCGGTTGGACTATCCAAGCCACCCTTTACCTTCAGAATACCATCTGTGCATCACAATATCTCATCACATCCATATGGGTTATGAATAAGCTGCAACAGCCCTAATACAGTTCCTCTGGGTCAAGAGCAGAAATTGGATTGAAGATCCAAAACCACAAATTGCCCCTCATAATTTTCAGCCAGTTTTTGATCTGGTGAGTGGACTGTCATAAAAACCCAAGGCTTTAATCTTGTAGACACACTTTTTAGGCCATATAAAAAGGTGAACATCTACCATATTTCTCTCACTTATTGTCTTGCTGAATTATTTTGAAAAAAGAACAATGAAATTAACAAGATAAGGAGCTCCTTTTGAAGCTATGTCCTTAACATGTCATTCTGTGGTGGGTAATTATTGGAAGTCCAAAGGTTTCAGTTAGCCTCTTGCCTTTTATTGACATCAAACCAATGGATTTGGAGTTAGCTGGATTTGTCTTAGCCTCTAGTTTTAAAGAACTGATCGACATTAGCTTCCTTCCAGGAACAATTCTAGACTCAAGTCAGCCATTCATTGTTTGGGCAAGGGGCTGATAACATCTTTCCTCCCCAAGAACCCTTAGATGCATATCATATGGGCAGGCTGCCCAAAATGTCTTGAGGTTTTTAATTGTCTGTAGAAAAGAAGCAGTTAATTTCTGTGTTAATGTGTTCATTTTCAGAATTCAATGAGGATACTAACAATGGAGTATAGTTTTCAGTCATGCCAAGCCAATCACACTACTTGACCTTGATTCATGGTGCACTGATGTCAAGCTTTACTGTATTAGTTAACAGAGACCTGTGTGATAAATGCAAAAGATAGTTTGAGGGTTGTATGACTGAGATCTGCAAAAATTCAATTGAATTCAACATGGCAGCCTCTTGACAAGATTTGTCGATGTTCGTGTTTCATTTATTTTGCTCCATTTCTCTGTGCAGAGGTTTGGTGCAGGTCCAAGTGGGCACTTGCCAACCCCCTCTGTAGTTTGTCCTCTCAAAGTTGTGCAGGCAATAGACTAATGTGATGTTAAGTTTTCTCTTTGAGAACAGAAGTGAATGAACAGTTCACACTGCTCCTGCGCTTGTCCTAATACCATGGGACCTGGAGCGAGGTGCTTGTGAAACAGGAAAGCAAGGAGGGAAAACAGCAGCGCATACCCAGGTGTTGTGCTCTCCCAACAGTCTTTCTTCTTCAAACACAACGCTCCCATATCTAATCTTGGAAAAACCTAATCCTGTTATTGCTGCATAGCCTCGTTCCTGTCTTTTAGTTCCACCTCCTTCAACCTCTCTTCCTACTTGTGTTTTCCACTCAACTCAAAACTCTGCTAGCTTCAGTAGAAGAGCCATCATTCTCAATTTCTGGAACACTCTATAAGCATCAATAGCTCTGTTAACTTAAAAGGCTAACAGATGTGGCCTTGGTTCTCTGCACCCAATGCACTAATCACTGTCACTTATTTTCACTTCTGTGAACTGCTTCAGGAAACCGTAGCATGAGTTTAATCAGCCCAGACTCCCATCTAAAAGATGTTACCCTTGATATTGCTGTGCTGGGACGTCTCTCTTGAGTTGGGGTTCCATTCCATGAGGTAGGGCTCGATTGAACAACAATTTTCAAAATTCAAAGTACTCCTGTTGAACCTTAAGTGACACTTGAACACCATGAGCTGGTTGTGTCGCTCGGTGGACTCGGTTAAAATAACACAAAATGCATCAGTGAATCAATTTAAATAATTTTTTCTCTTTCCAATGATATAAAAATGAGACAGCGAGGAATTATAATGGTTTAAAATTAAGCTCAGTCTTGATTTAGTTTATTTTTAAAGAAAGAGCCAGGTTCTCCCCCAGAGGGGTGTTGATTTTTTGGACAGGGAAAGGATCAAGAAGGGAAAGGTGGAAACTGGTGTTTGTGCTAAAAGAAATATTTGGATTAAACTCTCATAAATCTTTGACGGTCTTTGGCTGCCCAATTCAGTCTGTTAAACTCAGCATGCCAAACCTCTCGTGTTCCTTTTCAACACCTCAAAACACTCTTCCCCTCTTAAAGCCTTCCCATTTCATAAAAGATCAAGGCTTTTAAAAACCCAAACCTGGCACCAACTTAGAAATCCATAAGAAGTAGGAGCAAATGTAGGCCACTCGGCCCCAGTGAGTCTGCTTCATCATTCGGTGAAATCATGGCTTATCTGATCATCCTCAAGCTAACTTTCTTGCCTTATCCTCATAACCTTTCGCCCCCTTACTGATTAAAAGTCTGTCCTCAGCCTTAAATTACTTAACTTTACAGCCTCCACAACCCTCTGCAGTCAAAAATTTCACAGATTAACTACTCTTTGAGAGAAGAAGATCCTCCTCATCTGTGTCTTAAATGGGCACCCCCTTATTGTGAGATGATGTCTTCTAATCCTATATTCTCCCACAAGAGGAAACAACCTCTCTGCATCAAACATTCCCTCAAAATCTTACATGTTTCAATCAGGGCTCCTCTGATTCTTCTAAACTCCAATGAGCACAGGTCCAAACTTCTCAACCTGTTTCCACTGCCATATTTTGTTAGGCAAAGGGACCAAAACTGTTCGCAGTATTTCAGACATAGTCTGACTAATGCCTTAAGTAGTTTTAGCAAGACCTCACAATTTTTAGACTCTGTCCCCTTTGAGAAAATGCCTTCCCTCTTACCTGCTGAACCTTCTCTGTCACCTTTTCATGATTCATTCGCAAGGACCTCAAATCCATTTGTGCTGCAGCTTTGTGCATTCTTGTCCCATTTAAACAAAATTCAGTTCTAACCTTTGTGTCGAATGCATAACCTCACATTTTCCCACATTATATTCCATCTGCTCAGTTTTCGCCCACTCACATTACTTTTCTCTATCCCTCTGCACAATCTTTTTGTTGTTGTCATTGCTGATCTCCCCACCTAATTTTGTATCTTTCACATACTTGGTGACAGTGGCATTCCCTGTCCTTATCCAAATCATCAGTATGTGTTGCAAGTATATACTGCACTGATCCCAGTGCAGTTCACTCTTGACACGTTGCTATCTGAATATGTCCCCCCTTATCCCAACTCTCTCTTAAGTCAGGCAATGCTTTGTCCATGCTAATTTCCTCCCCTCAATACTTTCTAAATAGTCTAATGAGCAATACCTTAGCAAACAACTTTTCAGATAATTTATTTGGTTTTCTTAACTGTTCTTTCTGCCGTTGTTCATTGTGTCACTGTGTTTGGTCATGATGGATGTTGGCTTTTTCAGTTGGAAGAAACAAAAGGTTCATGTGCAAATGATTTTGTTGGCTTTGAAGAGCTCAACAGCCTAAACTCATAAGACTCTGCACAAGCAAATCTGAACTGAAAGGCACACAGCCAAAATAGTTGATCAATTACAAGCCCATGCTCCCTAAGACCAGGCAGCTTCGTAGTTAATGCAAAAACAAATGTGCAAGCACTGGCATCACTCACATGTGACCATGGGGAATCTAATATTGCATGAGCTGTGTGAACTAGAATCTTGCTGGCATCAGTCCTGGTGTGATGTACCCCAACATAGTGTCTGGCAAACCACAGCTTACCATAGTACTGAGAACAGAAGGGAAGAGGTTTTGTTTGTTACTCTTGATCAAACCTGCCTTTGCATCAGTTTCAGAATTGGGTCACTTCATTGATTATGGATTTTGTTTTTTTTTAGCAAACAGTAAACTAATTTGAAATATCAATGTCCAGGTCCAATGAGCAAGAGGAGCTGGGTCAAACCATCATTGGTGTGACATTTTGGAGAGAGATGTGCAAGGGAAAAGAATAGACTGAATCTCTGGGGGTCTCGTGTGATATGTTCTGCCGAACCACAATCCCGTGCAGTCATTTGTACACTAATGTTTATGGAGATTCTGCTGTTTTTCTGTACTCGAGAGACCTAAAAGAAAACCTCTGACTGTATGATCTTTTATCATCTGCAGGCTTTGCAGGCACACCTGGCTACCTGTCTCCCGAAGTCCTTCGAAAAGAAGCCTATGGAAAGCCAGTGGATATCTGGGCATGCGGTGAGTACAAGAGGTGAACTTGGATCTTGACTAATGTCTAAAATTGGCCTTCCCTCGCTGATTAGCATTTGAGGTCAGCCACATGGTTCAGATTGAAGTGTCTTTGGAAGCTTTTCACCGGTGATCTGATGGTTTGGATTATCCCTGGAACCAAAGGAGTTGGGTAGGTGAGGATGTGAAAAGTCACAAGCCAAGTCCAGGCATGATATTGCAAGTGTAGAAACCATGATGTTTCCCATCCCTGGGCGTCATTTACACGTAATTAGTGGGATACATCTCAATTGGTGCATTATGGTCCTTACGGAGTGAGCAAAAAGACTGACCTTGACATCTGCTCACGAGAAGAGAAGACTGATCTCAGCCGGCTGGTCATGCAAGAGGCAGTGGGAACAGATCAGAGATGCTTCCCCTTAGATGAGCAGGGCACTTTTTTTGAACCTGTTCTCATGATACTGTTTCTAGCATGTGAGAAACACAACGGAGATGTGAGAATTGCCACCATAGGTGTGATCCTCCTCATGTTATGAGCAGAGTTAGGTTCCCATTTACAAATCAGAAAGTCTACCATTTATTGGATGGGAGTGCCCTGTGACCATTAATTTTTCATGAAAACTGCTCCATTGGTGTTCATGTTTTTGCCATGACCCCCCTTGAACTGAGCCAGTCTCTCTATTTTTGACAAGAGATGTAAAATAGCCATGGGCATCTCAGGGGCCACGAGGAACATTGAGAGGTAGAAAGTATGGTTTTGCCCATATCCAACAATCTTCTCTCTTCAGTGACCAGTTCTGTCTTCACGTCACCACAGGAGCAGTCAACATACTTCAGGCCTTAACAACGAAAGCTTGACCCTTCTGTCATCCCTCCGTCAGAGCTTTATCTGTGGGAAGCACTTTGTGAGACACAGCTCTTTCCAATTATCTCTCCACAAATGATTTCTTTTAAGCACTGGAATCCAGTAAAACTCCTCCCAATCCAGAAGGGGATGGCAGTCTTTACACAGGTTTAGAGAGTCCAGACCACAGGCGGTTGCATTTGTATGGCACATTTGAGCTCATTACTACCCAAAATGTGCCTTGGATCCCAAGGTTATTAAATCAGCCATGAGATGCAGTATTTCATTTTGGTGGAAGGTGAGGTCAGCATGAATTGGATCCTAATAGGCTTTAGAATTGTACATCTGTTGCAAATGTTGGACCACACACTCCCACACTTGGGTTAAATGTTTTTATGGACCAGATCGAACCCCCTACAAATGTATCAAGGAGGTAGTCTAGACTCTGACTTGCTTATTTAAAGACAAATGTAAGGTTATGTGTTCTACACATAATTCCATTGGTTACACCACTCGTCTTTAAGCAAAACACATTTTATTGTTACCCTACAGTTAAAACACAAGCAAAAGAAAGAAGAATTGGAATAAGTTAACTCTACTGGAAAACTTAAGAAAGTAATAGGTTATTTATCGATTAAACTGTTCCAGTCCAGTGACATCCCATAAACACGTCCTTGACGAAGGCAAAATCAGTAAAACAGATTGTCTGACATGCACAAAAACAAAAGTTGCTGGAAAAGCTCAGTAGGTCTGGCAGCATCTGTGAAGGTAAAAAAGAGTTAACATTTTGGGTCCGATGAGGAAGGGTCACTGGACCCAAAACATGAATTCTGACTTTTTTCTTCACACCTGCTGAGCTTTTCCAGTAACTTCTGTTTTTGTTCCTGATTTACAGTATCCGCAGTTCTTTTATTTTTTTACTCTCTCATGCAGTTCTGACAGCAGAAAGACAAGATCCAGCTTTTAGCTGTTAACAGAGAGAGGGGCTGCACAGTGGCTAGTGGTTAGGACTGCTGCCTCCCAGCACCAGGGCCCTGGATTCAATTCCAGCCTCAGGCTACTGTCTGTGTGGAGTTTGCACATTCTCTCAGGGTGGCACGGTGGCTCAGTGGTTAGCATTGCTGCCTCACAGTGCCAGGGACCCAGGTTCGATTCCACCATCGGGCGACTGTCTGTGTGGAGTTTGCACATTCTCCGTGTCTGCGTGGGTTTCCTCCGGGTGCTCCAGTTTCCTCCCACAGTCCAAAGATGTGCAGGTTAGGGTGGATTGGCCGTGCTAAATCGCCCTGTAGGGATGTGTAGATTAGGTGGGTTATAGGGGGATGGGTCTGGGTGGGATGCTCTGAGGTTCGGTGTGGACTTGTTGGGCCAAAGGGCCTGTTTCTATACTGTATGGATTCTATACAAAAAAAAACAGCTTCCACAACCAGTTTCGAAAACCCCAGCAACAGCTGAGAGCTAAACTAAAACCCTGGTTCTGTGGGAGCTTGACTCCACCCCTTAAGGCTGCTTTTATTGTTGGCACTTTTTATAAACAAAATCCCCAAGGCTGCACAAACAGTTTATTTTATTGGCTTGGCACCTCTGTCTCAAGCTCTCCATTAAAAAAAAGTGATGAAATATATCTGTTGAAGCCATAGTATCGTCTCAGTGTTCACCTTTGGTTTGAAAAATTTATCAAATATGCTGATTGATTGAAATCATTTGCCTGTTTGTGCTTGTTTTTTTTCTTCTTTGTCTTTTGTTGTAGGAGTTATTCTGTACATCTTGCTTGTTGGCTACCCACCTTTCTGGGATGAAGACCAGCACAAGCTCTATCAACAGATCAAGGCTGGTGCTTATGATGTATGTACATGAAAGAAACTGGCTTTGACTAACGTGAGACCAAAATCTTAGGCACTTACTTCAGTCACTCATTTCTCATCACATTGCACTGCTGCCTACTTTTATGACATGGTCCCTGACTTTGGCCATTCCCTCCAAAGGCAAAAGACTATCACATGCCAGAATTGAAAATGACAATGTTAACCCCATGCCACAGACATGGACCCAAATAACTACTGCATAATTTGAACTGGCTATTTGTGCTGCAAAGACCCAAATGGCCTTTGTGTGCCTCCAGCCTGACATAAGGGACAACACATGCTGCCGTCCCAAAAATAAATGTTCATGTTTCTTACTCACATCAGCCCAGAGGTAATCCAGTTTCAGATAGACTTGAGTTTGAGTTTTATCTGAGCACGCTGAAGGGGACCTGTTGTCCCCTGCTTGCATATCTTGCAGTACTGGGATCTGATCAGTTTCTTGGAGCTGTTTTACCTGTCAGCTTCTGCCAAGATATAGGATTCAACGTAGCATGGAGCTGAATTGACAAAGAATGCTTGCTCCAACTGGTGCCTATAACTTCCAGCTCCAATCTATGTGCTGTGTTGACTCCTCAAGTTTTCAACATGTGCACTAATCCTGGCTTGATTAAGCCTGCCACAAGAGGGCCAGTTTTCTCCCTGCTCCCATGTGGATTGTTAATGGACAGTCAGCGCAAAAGGAGGCCAAGATGATCTCTGTCCTCTGCATGGTTAAATGACCAAGTATGGAAATGCAGAAACTCAGTAGAAACTTAATATTTGCCACAAGGAAGATAATGATGGAGCAAGTATTAATTGGCCAGAAATATCTCTTCACTTATTGTTACTGGCAGCCACAGTTTTGGTTCCACTTGATCTGGTGTCATAAAAGTCTCTGAGTCTGCACTCGGAGTTTTCGCAACTTAGTGCAGAGAAATAAATTAAAGCCTCGTAAAATGTCACGAAGCGATGATGTGGAAGTCAAACTTAGAAATGTGACTGGTTGCAAGGGCTGGACTGTACCACAATGAATGAATGTGTTTACAATATGGAACAGAAAGATAACAATTAAAGTAAAGCACTTTTATTTTTTGTATTTCCTGCTGGGATTCCTGCTTGAAGAGTAATTCAAAGTGTAAATCACTATATTCTGAAGCCATTGGTTTTGTCATTTTGATTCTTCTTATGGTAGATTGATTTATTTTGACATTGATAATTATAATAACTGCTATTTATTTTGCACTATTAAAACATTGACATGTCCAAATGCACTTCTTAAGAATCAAACAAAATATGACACTGAGTAGATTTAGAAACTTGAGGGAAGATGACTTAAAAACGTTTCAAACTTGAAAGAATATTCCTGAATGAATGAAGAAAGAGAGGTGGAGAGGTTTTGGGGGGGACAGTGGGATTTCTTTGTTTGGGGCCTTGGCATCTGACGGCATAGCAGATATTGGTTGAGTGATTAAAATTGTGGATGCATAGACATATTGATCAGAGCTCAAAAAGTGAAAATATCTTTGAGGGTGTGGGTCTGTAAGAAATTGCAGACATTGGGAATGGAAAAGCCATGGAAAAACATTGAAACAAGCTTGAGCATTTTGAAATTGAGATATTGCTTAACAAAGTGTTGATCACCCAACAGAGAACTGAATGGGACTTGATGCAATTCTTGAAAATATTTGATAACCATGTTGTTTTGAACGAGAAATTAAACTGTACTCTCTGCTGATCAAAGGAGCAAAACTCCTACCTCCGCTGAATACAAGTAAAGCAAACAAATATGAAAAGAAGTAAGATTTATGATCTTGTAAAAGACACACCATTTCTTGAGAAAGCTCAGTCTTTACCTCTGTTTTTCTGTCATCTCTTAGTTTCCTTCTCCTGAATGGGATACAGTTACTCCAGAGGCCAAGAATCTCATCAACCAGATGCTGACAATTAACCCTGCCAAACGTATTACTGCCACCGAGGCACTGAAACACCCCTGGGTCTGTGTAAGTGTTCACTTAGTGGCATTGTTCAGGAGTGAATGCAACCCTCATCTTTGTATCTAGAAAAGAAAGTTGGACGGACCCGACATGTCAGGATTGTCATTGAGGAGAACGGTAGATTTTAGTCTACCCACGTGTCCTCCCGTCTGTACTTCTCATGTGGGTGGTCTGAATGTAACCCCTCAATCTTAAACAGAGATCAAGTGACTCAGATTGAAAGGGACACGAAAGAGTTGAACTGCTCTGGTCCGATGATGCCCAGTTTACTCTGCAAGCATGTTAATGAAGAAGCTGTTCTGAGACCACCTCTCTGTTTTTTTATGGGCTGGGGAATGAATGGGGAAAAGTGTTTACAGAAAGTGATTTGAAAGATGAGTTCCATCGGTGAAACTAAATTTTTTGTGTGCTTTCAGCAACGATCCACTGTTGCGTCTATGATGCATCGCCAAGAAACTGTGGAGTGTTTGAAGAAATTCAATGCCAGACGAAAACTCAAGGTGAGAAATTCTTCATTTCAATCAGTTTGTAGGGGGCTGTGTCACATTTTCAAGTGCAATGAGGGTATTTTGTATTCCTATTTGTGAATTTGTTGGTGCAATGACATTGATGGTCGCAGATTTCAAAGTGTTCAGATTTGCCGTAGTATACAGTTTTCAGACCACATTATTGATCCATTCACTTAGCCATGAGGTTACCTTCATGAAATCCTGAAATTTGAATGTTTGTATCAAATCACAGACATGAGGGGAGAAAGACCTCAGTGCAGACATCTTCTCACTAGAGCTTGAACCCCTTAAGTCTAGTATATTGTCTTTCAGAAGCTTCCCAATCCACTTGGGTGACAATCATTTAACAGTGCATTAACAAAATGAGCTGCACAAAATGCTGAGAATAATCAGCAGGTTATTCTACTGAAAGAAAGGGAGTTGACCTGAAGTTATAACTTGATTTTACACTCCACAAATACTGGCTGCCCTGCTGAGTATCTTCAGCATTTTTGTATTTTGTTTCAGTTTTCAGGCGTCTGCAGCATTTTGTTGTTGTGATCACCCCGGAAATTGTGGTGATTCTCGTTCTTGGAAATGGAGCACCATAAATTCTCACCTGTTAACCAGTTAAAACAGCAGTAAGTTTCGCTGTTGTCCTCTCCACTCAAATCCCATTGGAGAGCAGTGCTTAGGCCTAAACTTTTTACACATTACACACATGAACTTGAATGAAGGGACCAAAGTTGTGGTTGCTAAATTTGCTAATGACAAAAGCTAGACAGAAAAGTACATTGTGAAAAGCGTATAACAAGGCTCCAAAGATATATGGAGGTAGCAAGAGCTGCAGATGCTGGAGTCAGAGATAACACAGTATAGAGCTGGAGAAGCACAGCCGGGCAGCATCAGAGGAGCAGGAAAGTTGACGTTTCACGTCGGGACCCTTCTTCAGAAAAGAGATATGGATAGTTTTGCAGAGATCTGGCAAATGGAGTTTAATGTGGGAAAATGTGAAATTGCCCATCTTATTAGAAAGAATAATTAAGAAGCTGATCTTCAAAATAATGAGAGGTTCGAAGGTCCTGACAGGCAGAGGGGGATTTGCGAGTCTAAGAGCGTGAAATTAGTTAAAGGAAATTGAATGCAAAAGTAGGGAGTTATGCTTGAGTAATACAAGGCACTAAAGACGATATATGTTTGGACTGTTGTGTAAAGTCGAGTACTGTGATCTCATTGAACCAGGTAGGATTCTGAAGGGACTTGATAGGGTAAATGCTGAGAGCATATTTCCCCTCATGGGAGAGTCTTGGACCAGGAGCATAGTCTCAGAATAAAGGAGTGCCATTGAAGACTGACATAAGAAGGAATTTCTTCTCTGGCAGTTGAGAGTCTTTCGAACTCCTTGCCACAGAGAGCTGTGGGGGCAGAGTCCTTGTGTATGTTTAAGGCTGAGACAGCAAGAACTTGATTAGTAGGGAAATCGGGTGTTATAGAGAAAGGACAGGAAAGTGGACATGAGGTATATCACATCAGCCGTGATCCTGTTGAATGCCAGAGCAAGCTCAAGGGGCCGACTAGCCTACTCCCGTTCCTATTTCTTATGGTTTCATATTGGTCTTGTTATTTAAGGAAGCATCTTGCTATTGATCTTGTTATTGAAGGATGCATTTTGCATTGGAAGCCGTGCAAAGTGAGTTTCCTGGGCTAACACCTCAATGGCTTGTGTCCACTGGAATTTTGAAGAGGTGACTTGATTGAAACCCCTAAACTATTGAGGGATCTTGATGGGATGGGTGTGAAAAGGATGTTCCTGCTTGTGGAACAATCCAGAGTTAGGGCTGTTTGCTCCGAGGGTTGTGAGTCTTTCTCAGCCTCTTCCTCAAAAGGCAGCAGAAGCAGAGTCTTTGACTACTTTTAAGTAAGAACTAGACAAACTGTTGGGGCTCAAGGAACTGAAAGGATGTCAGCTGTAGGCTACAACATGGAATATTCCAATCAGCAATGATCTTCTTGAATGGCAGAGCAGGTTCAAGGGGCTGAGAGGCCTCCTCCTCACATGTATGTTTCTATATGTGGGCATACATTGAATGTTCACAAAGAATTGTCCAACCTGAGAGAGCAAAATTATGCATTCAACAACAAATAGTGAAGCATACCCAGAAAATAAGGTTAAAGTAAGAAAGTTCTGACAAATTCTGAGCTTGTTTTAACAACCCAGAGTAACAGTTTCCATTCCCAAGAAAAATCATGGTGAAGCCAAGCAGGTGTAGCTAAAGAAACAGTTTGTTTTTGGCACTTGGAAACCTGAGTTGTTGGCAAATTACATTTAACTGAACAAAAATACAGATGACTGGAACACTGTACAGTTGTGCACCAGGACTGAAAAGGGAAAGCTTACACTTGTACAGCATTTCTCAAATGCTAAGATTATTCCCTATGCTTTACAGCCATTGCACCACTTCTGAATTCATTGTAACAACATATATACTCAAGCTTTCACAAACAGCAATGATATAAGTGAGAAGATAATCTGTTTCGGTGATCTTATTTGAGGGATAAATATTTGAAATTGTACCTGAAGAAACTGAATTCTCAGCATCAGATATGACCATGGGATGTTTAATGTCCATTACAGAGGGTTAACAATGCTTTCTTCAGATAAGTTCTCAAAAAGCTGATTGTTTTGACAGTATAGCACTTGCACAGTTTGACACGGGAGTGTAAAACTAGATTATGTCGCACAATCTCTGGAATGGGACTTGTGACTGGAAGGTGAGTGTTCTGCCAGTGAGTCAAGAGTGAAATCACATGGCTGTCTGACTACAATTCAAAGTATCACCCTGAGAGCTCAGATTAAAAATAGATAGGTGAAGTTGAATTGCAGAAGTTTGGCACAAAAATCAAAGATTACAATTTGGGGTAAATCCCAGAAGGTCATAAGTGAATTGATTTTTGAAGGTTGTACGTTTCATAGAATTTGACAAAATGCCAAAAATATTTTTCAAAGATACAAACTCATTAGCATGAGTCACATGAAAGAAATGAGAGATTTGTCCAGTTCCTTTGCATATCTGTACAAGGATGTTGTGCATCTGAATTTTCTTGTTTTTTTTAATCAGCATTCATGGAACATGGACGTGACTGGCTGAGCCAGCATTCATTGCTGGTTACCAGTTGCCTTTCATGGTGAGCTATCTTCTTGAACCACTGCCGTCTATATGCTGTTGACCCACAATTCAGAAAGGGAGCCAGTTCCAGGATTTTGACTCAGTAATGGTGATATATTTCCATTTCAGGCTGATGAGTGGCTTGTAGGATGACTGCTCCATGTTTGAACCAAGGCTGTAATGAGGTCAGGAGAAGAGTGACCCTGGTGGAACCCAAAGCAAGTGCTGTTGATGATACCCTCCATCACTTCACTGATGATTAAGAATAGAGTAATGGGGCAGTAATTGACTGGGTTGGATTTGTCCAGCCTTTTGTATACAGGACATACCTGGGCAGTTTTCCATTTGTCGGGTAGATGCCAGTGTTGTAGCTGTAGGAAGAGCTTGTCTAGGGAAGCGACAATTTCTGGAGCTCAAGTCTTCAGTACTATTGCTGGAATATTGACAGGGCCGGTAGACTTTGCAGTATCCAGTTTCTTGATATTACGTGGAGTGAATCGAATTGGCTGAAGATGAGCCTTTAAAGCTGGGGACCACTGGAGGAGGCCGAGATGGACCATCCACCCAGCACTTGTGACTGAAGATTGCTGCGAATGCTTCAGCCTTAGCTTTTGCCTTGGTGTGCTGGGCTTTTCCATCATTGAGGATGGGGATATTTGTGGAGCCTCCTCCAGTGAATTGTTTAATTGTCCACCGCCATTCACGACTGGATGTGGCAGGACTGCAGAGCTTAGATCTGATCCGTTGGTTGTGGGATCGCTTAGCTCTGTCTATCACTTGCTGCTTTTGCTGTTTGGCGTGCAAGTAGTCCTGTTTGGTGGCTTCACCAGGTTGATACCTCATCTTCAGGTATGTCTGGTGCTGCTCCTGGCATGCCCTCCTGAACTCTCAATTGAACCAGGGTTGATCCCCTGGCTTGATGGTAATGGTTGAGTGGAGGATATGCTGGGCCATGAGTTCGCATATTGTGCTGGATTACAATTCAGCTGCTGTTGGTGGCTCCCTCCTTGGTAAAGTACTAAAGTTCTGGGGCCATCTGAAATCCAACCTCCAAGTCTTGCCAAAACATCAACATTGCACAAGATAATTTCACGAAAAAAACAATGACAGAATCAGCCCTGTCAATGCGGCAGAGTCCTCCTTAGGAACATCTGGGGGCTAGTGCCAAAATTCGGAGAGCTGTGTCCCAGACTAGTCTAGCAACAGCCTGACATAGCCATACTCAACGAATCATGCCTTACAGACAATGTCCCAGACACCACCATCACCATCGTTGGAAATGTTCTGTCCCAATGGCAGGACAGACCCAGCAGAGGTGGTGGCACAGTGGTATACAGTCAGGAGGAAGTTGCCCTGAGAGTCCTCACAACATTGACTCCGGATCCCATGAAGTCAGACAGCTTCAGGTTAAACATGGATAGGAAGGCTCCTGCTGGTTACCATGTACCATCCTCCCTCAGCTGATGAATCAAGACTCCTCCATGTTGAACAACACTTGGAGGAAGCACTGAGGCTAGCAAGGGCTCAAAATGTATACTGGGTGGGAGATTTCAATGTCTACCACCAACTGAGTGGGCAGCAGCATGACTGATCGAGCTAAAGGACATAGTTGTGAGACTGGGTCTGCAGCAGGTGATGAGGGAACCAACAAGAGGGAAAAACATACAGCACCTCATCCTTACCAATCTGTCTGCTGCAAATGCATTAATGTGACAAATGCATAACCGTATTGGTAAGAGTCATCACTGTGCAGTCCTTCTGGAGACCAGAGTCCTGTCTTCACAATGAAAATATCCTCCATTGTGTTGTGTGGCAGTATCTCTGTGCTAAATGGGACAGACTTTGAACAGATCTAGCAACTCAAGACTGGGCATCCACGAGGCACTGTGGACCATCAACAGCAGCAGAATTGTACTCCAGCACAATCTGTAACCTCATGGCCCGGCATACCCCCTCTCAACCCTGGTTCAACAGAGAGTCCAAGAAGGGAGGTTACTCTGTTTGCTATTTTCTAGCTGCATGGCTTGTTTATTTAAGAGAGAAATCACTAAAGTGAACATAATTTAAATTGCACATCCTAAAAGGCCATTGCTTGAAGAACTAACCACTTTTAATCAGAACTGACACATCTGTTTCATTGCTGCTCATTCCATGCCCAAGTTGGAGTCAGCTCTGGCTGAAAGTGGGAAACAACTTGCATCTCTTGAGTCGGAAGATTAAGCCTCCTTCCAGACTTGTGAGCGCACAATCTAGGCTGACAGTAGGATACAGTACCAGCGAAATACTGCACTGTTAGGGCTGAAATGTGGTGTTTACTGGACACCAAGGTGATGCAGAGTGAACATATCTGAAGCAGTATTTTCATTGAAGTGCACCAGTTTCATTTGTGATACCCAGGGTGGCACAGGAACGGGCAGACTGTATAAACATAAACAAACACAGCAACAAAATGGATCAGTGAGGGTGGTGGTGAGAATCACATAATGGCAAAATTAATGGCTATTTGAATGTGCGTGGTATTTGGAGCAAAGTAAATGCATTAATAGCATGAATAGAAGTTAATGGGTATGGTTATAGAACCATGGTTACGAGGAGAACAAAGCTGGGCACTAAATATTCATGGCTCACTATCTTTTCAAAAGGATAATCAGGAAAGAAAGCCAAGTTGCAGGTAGATTTGTCAGTACAAGATGGAATAAATACAATGATAAGAAATGCTTTTGGATTGGAAGATGTAGTATCTATTTGGGTGGAGTTAAGAAATGACGAGGGGGAGAAGACAGTTGTGTGAGTAGTCTATCAGCTCCCTCACTGTAGCTCAGACAAAAAAAATGAGGAGATTACAGCGTCACGTAAGAAAGGCAGGACTATATATTCATCTTGGGTGCCTTAAATCTTCATGTAGATTGGGAAAATCAACTTGACAGAGGAACCCATGAGAAATTCATCGAATTTATTTGGGACAGTTTTTGACACATAAGAGTATGTGGTGGATCCAACCAGGGATTGGATTAAGTAATATGTAATGAGGGAGGCTTAATAAATGATGCCAAAGTAAAAGATCCCTTGGAAAACAGTGACCATAACGTGGTCGAATTTAGCATTCATTTTGTGACTTGCATGGAAACAACTGTGCTAAACTTTATTAAGGGTAATTATATTGGACTGAGGCTAGAATGGCTGGAGTAGACTGGGAAGGGTGATTAGCAGAAAAGACAGTTGCGCATTACTGATTTTAATTGTGCCAGTATCAGCAATTGTGCCTTCAGCTGCGCTGGGCCCTCAGCTCTGCAATTCCCTCTCTAAATTTCTCCACTTCTGTATCTTTCTGACCTTTTAAAAGCTAATGCAGATATTTGCAGGAAGTAGACTGCTCGCTAAGATAAGATAGAGGGTTGTGATAAGTGGGCATTTTCAGGATGACACCCTGTAACCAGTGAAGTGCCACAGGGATCAGTGCTAGGCTCACAATTCTTTACAATATATAATAATGACTTTGAGGAATGTGAATGTCCAGTCGCCAAATTTGCAGGTGGCACAAAAAATGGCAAGTCGTGAGAATGACATGAAGAGTCTGCAGAGGGACACAGACCAGTTAAGTTTCTTGGGAAAAACTTGCCACATAGAATATAGTGTGGGGAAATGTGTGTTTCTGCACTTGGGCATGAAGAATAAAAAAGCTGAATATTACTTAAATGGAGAGAAACTGTAGAAAGCAGCGGCACAGATGGAGTTGAAGTCCCTTTGAGGTTCTTTTCACAAGCTACCATCCAAGTTCAGCAGCTAAAAGCAAAGGCAGATGGAACGTTTGCCTTTATTTAAGCGAATGGAGTACCAAAATGAGTACCTCTTCCTGAAATTGTACAAGGCACTTGGCAGACCGTACTTAGAATACTACGAATACTTTTTGTTTCCTTATCGAAGGAAAGATAGTCTGGCATTGGAGGCAGTCCAGAGGTTCACTAGGGTTGATTCTGGATCTGGAGGGATTTCTGATAAGGAGCAGTTGAGTAAGTTGGGCCTTTACTCATTGGAGTTTAGAAAAATAAGAGGCGATCTTGCTGGAACATGCATGATACTTTGAGGCACGACAGGGTCTTGAATGTTGAGAGGTACTTTCCCCTTCGGAAAGAGACTAGTGTTGGAGGGCATCATCTCAGAGTGAAGGATTGCACATTTAAGTCGGAGATGAGGAGGAATTTCTTTACCGCTGAGAGCTGACAAGGCTGGGTCATCTAAATTATTCAAGGCTGAGGTAGACAGATTTTTAATCAGCAGGAGATTCAAGGGTTATCGGGAAAAACAGGAAAGTGAAGTTGAAGATTATCACATCATCCATGATCTTACTGAATGAAGACACAATGGGCTGAATGGCCTACTTCTGCTCCCATGTCTTACGGATGTACTGTCTTTCAGAAGAGAACTGAAATTGAGGCCTTTGTTACCCCCTCTAATGGACTATACGTAGAACAGCAGGGCACTTCGACCAGTGCCTTGAGTAAAACGAATGATCTGGACACATAACATCCTGCTGTTTGTGAGAGCTTGGTGTGGACCGATTGGCTTCTGCATTAAACACTGGCTGCATCTTAAAAATGCTTAATTGTTTCTGAAACACTTGGGAAACTGCATTTGTGAATAGTGCTTGTAAACTATGGCAATATGATATTTGAGTTGAAACCATTGGCTGATATTTTTCTTCTATCCCATCCAGGGTGCCATCCTCACCACTATGTTAGCAACACGGAACTTCTCAGGTAGGTTTAATTGAAATCCTTTGTTTTAAAAATAATTCCATCATTAATCCCATGGTGAGATGTCACTTGAAAATTTTGAAGTAGACATGAATAGAAGAGGATCGATACATTGGCCATCATCAGTGCATTCGACCAGATTTATCATGGTGGTTTGCATATCAAGTTTGATTGCAAAACAAGCAGCAGAAAAATTTGAGAGGGGATCTTGGTTCATTTTTAGTCTCTACAACACGCCAAGCAATTCGTTTTTACAGGAGATAAAAAATAGCTGCCAGTGATCACCCAGTGAGAAGTAGTCACATGTTACAGAAACTGCAAGAACACAGAAACAGGCAAAATGGAAACTAAAGCTTGTTGCATTGAACGTACTAAAAGTTTTGGGTCATGGGAAATTGGAAACTGCTCCAGTACTGAATAAGATAATGGATGATATGGTTGTGGCCTCAAACTCACTCACTTGTGTGCCTTGCCTGATTCCTTGATTTCCTTCTGTGAAAAATGTAGGTAACTGAGCCTTGAATCAACACGAAAATGCAGTTTCCACAGAGAAGAATATTGCACACAAGGGCAACACTGAAAAATATTCTCCTCATCCCTGTCTTAAAAGGGTGATCTCTTGTTCTTAAACTATGCCAACTCATTTTATTCTCCCCTTAATACCTGTAAAGTTTGTCTCTCTAACTGCTAGACTCTACCCACATTCTGAGACACTCTGAATAGTTTCTCTCTGACTTCCTATCAGTTCCTTTGAACATTGTGAAGATCTCAACCAAATCACATCTTGTCCTTCTCAAATCCATGAAGTCCATCTGTAGTTTGTATAATATCCTCATCATGGAACCTTGTTGAGTCCACCCTTTATTTGGTAAATAAATGTGAAGGAGAGAGAGGTGGAGAGGTTTCAGGAGGGATTTCCTGAGAATTGGCTTCAGATTGCTGAAAAGTCTGCAAATTATGGAAGAATTGCTTTGGCCAAAGATGTGCACCAGTGACCAAGAAGTGAGAAACAAAGTTTGAGAAGGGGTACTGGGTTGGGTGCACGTGGAAGTAGGGTGTGTGAGGTATGCAAAGGAGGTGGGTGGGTATTCAGACCCAAGTGACTGATATTCAGCAGCCTAGAGAAAGTGTGTTTATGTCCTGTTATGACCCTGGCTGATGTTAGTGCTGGATAGGTCAGATTCCAGAATGAAATCTGCTTCGACAGATAAAATTTTCTTTTTTTTTTGAAGGCAAAATGATGATTTTTCACTGAAACAAACACACTCGGCTGCAGATTTGATTTGAACAATAAAACAAATATCAGTTGCACAAAAGAAATAAAAATGAAATAAAGCAATCATGTAATCCAAACATATCTCAACAGTTTGAAAGAATTTCAAGTATACAAGGACGTATTATCCTATCTGCTCCCCAAAACCATCATTATACAGTTGTTCAAAAAAAGAATTATTCCCCTTTCCTATCAAATTTGAAGGTTTGACTTAACTGCTTTTTCTTCACATCCTGTCCTGTAAGCTGTGAAGTCCTTTGCTTGAATTTTCATCCAACTGAGAGCTCTCAGACATTTTCAGCTTTCAATAACAAATGAGGTTTTTTTTTAAGCAAATGTTCCTGGTCTGTAAGTTGCACAAACATCACTCTTTGCCTGCAGTAGTTTATTCCTTCATTAGTCTGAACAATCTCCTTTTTTCGAGGAGACACTGTACTGGTGACTCATTCCACACAAGTGTTCTTTGAACCGCTGAAAAGCTTTTCCAGTCCCTGGGCTTTTCTAAGCTGAAATTAGTGCTTGATTTATTCCAAACCCAGAAGCAAGCTCATATCTTTTAACATCTTCTTTGTCCTGTCAGAAGTCCCCACAAAGTAATCAAACACACCAGGAGGCCTTCAGTCACCTACTCTGACACATACCTGGTTAAAATCGTGGTTTTAGAAAGACTGACCCATTTATTTTTAAATCCCTTCACAAAGATCGACTGGCACCCATATACCACTCATTTGAAATGCACATTCGAGAAAAATCATATTAATACCTCTAAATCAGAAACCGTGGGTCACTGTAGTCCTAGTTTATATCTGCCATATTAGTGTACACATTTTGCTTAATGCCTTTTTCATCTCACTTTACACCCTTAGTGAAGTATATAGTCTTACTGGATAAGATATTGTTTTAAACTGCGCCGTACCTCAGAATGTCATAAACTATTTGCGTACCAATTCTTTAATTTTCTAATTGCTTCCAGTAATGTGAAGCATTTTTCACCAAGTGCTTATAGCAGTTGAATTCGTTTTTCAACTTCTTTGCAAATAAGCTATTGGATTTTTCCTTGGCTGTTCGCACACTTGTTAAGTGCTTGTCGCCTAACGGAGAGAGTAAAACAGATCTCTGCACCAAGGCCTGCTGTGCACAACTTGATTTGTTGAAAATAAATGTTCGTCGATTTGAAGTCAGCTACAAGAAGTGAAAGCCTCCTTACTGATTGTGCATTATCTACCACCTCCCTTTTATGTTTCACAGCCACACCCTTTAAATCGACCTGAGATTGTAAAACAGTGCAGTATAGATATCAGTCATTTTTGCACAGCAAAAGCAATCAAACCTATTCAGTAGAAATGCGGCATTCGATTCATCTTGTTCCAACAGCCTGAGTTCACCTTGTTTCCTTTGCTGTGTTTCGGCAGTTTGTTCATATTCAAAGCAACACACATTGACTGTCATACATAAACCTTCACAAAGCCAAATCCTTTCACCTTTCTCTTCATTATTCACCTTAAACTTATTCTTTTACTCCATTTTTACTTCAACTCATCCTATAAGCTAGTGTGTGTGTGACAAGTACCAGAAATAATTCAGTTACAACCATTTTTTCTACTTCATTTATGGGATGTGGCAAGACCAGCATTTGTTGCCTATGCTTAACTGCTCTCATTGATCACACCCAGTCAATGCCTATTTGAGTCAATGCTCCCTTTGGTTAGAAATCACATAGAGCAGAATTCAAGTCTCATCTTTGTGCAATGCTGGTAGTTTATGCTTCACTCTGTTATTCCATTTCATTATTGACTCGGAAGTCTGTTGTGTACTCCTCACAGCTGGGCTGCCCAGGTATGTTGCCAGAAGCTCCCTCTTCTTCCCTCCAATCCAGGGTGAAGAAGGAATTCCAGAGGTTCTCCTATGCTTGGAAATAACTCATGATTGTTTGTGAAGCTTATTATCTGGTTCACGTCAAACTGTGTGCACTCGAGGTCACAGCCACAGATACAAGTTTTTTTTAAACTGGTAAATTACATTTGTAAATTCCCTTGAATTAGTGTTCCATCTACTGGGACCACTGCAGCCGTGGTGCCATTCCTATAATGGTTGAGCAACCTTGGAATAATTAAGTGGCCGATGAGGCTATTTTGGAGGTTCGTTGGGAATCGCATCACGTTAAGAATCATTCACATTTCTGCGGATTTGGAGTCACATAGAGGCCAGGTCAGATGTTACTGGCAAGCTTTTTTTGGAAAGGTTATCACTGAAGCAGATTTTTTACGACATGGTCTTCATCATTGATAACTGCTTGTTATTTCATACCCATTTCATTCACTGAATCAACATTAGGGTTTGAACTTACACCTGTGTTATTACTCCAGGCCTCAGATCATGTGTCCAATTACCAATTATGCTCCCATTTCCTGAAGCCCAGAATATGAACTCACCATCCAGAAAAATAGGCAAGGAAGACTTTTCAGATCTGAAGGACGATACTTGCTGGGCAAGTCATTTGGAATTTTGATTTGTTTAACTAACAATGAGAAGAACTTCTTGTTCCAATGTAACACTTGGTTTCAATCCATTTATTGACAATTTTGTATAAGTTGTGAGGGAGAATGATAAACCTTCAAAAACTGTTTCTTTATGGGAATGGATGGTTTTCGAGAAAGGAATTGAATAACCTCTAATGATGGGCAATGAAAGCAAGAAATAGAACACTTCTCAGAACAGATTACAGTCATTTGATTGTAAAGTTAGTAAAATTTGATCCATATATGCACTTCATGGGATTTTGCTGCTGGTAGACGTCTGCAAGTTCACTGTTCTCTTCAATTCATAAGATTGTGCACCACATTTAGCCTGATTGAAGTTTCAGAAAGAAAGGCAACATCCTGATGACCTGCTGCAAATTAGATCTGAATAAGCTTTTCATAATGTTGTTTTCCTAGATTCCTGTGGAAATCACTGATCAGCAACGCTTGAGATTTAACTGTCAGCACATATCAAAATTAGACTCCCAAAAAATAAGCAGAGCCTCCTTGTAATATTGTGGTATGGTGAAGGGGAAGACTTAGGGAGCTCTTTCACAGTTGGTGTCTGGCTTATTGAACTTAGATGGTTGATTTCAAATCACTCAAACCCTGTGGCCTTAGTTTGAGAAATCCTTTGATCAGCTGCAAATGAATCTAGCCTGAACCATTTCCGCATGCAAATCATTCCAGATGCAGTGGTCGAAGGTGGTGGCAAATTCTGATTCTTAGCTAAGAAAAGATCTCCACTGACTGCAGATGCATAACAGGATTCAAGAGGGGTTCCTATTGATATGCAGCACAGTTTGCAACCTCGAGTTAATTGAGTGCGTGGTCAAGCAGTGCTGAGTGTGTTTTCCTGATGTTGCTTGCTTTCTTTTTATTCCTGTCAACAGTGGGCAGACAGACCACTGCGCCAGCTACAATGACAGCTGCAGCCAGCGCGACTGTTGGTCTCGTTGAACAAGGTAGACGTGTGCGGGCGGACACTGCAGGTGGAGGGCATGCTCAGAACTAATGCTCTGCTTTCTTAACTTGTGAACGTATCCTACCTTGTGTGTTTGTTGTCTGGATATTTCAATCCAATTTTAACTGGCTGGGTAGCAGGGAGAAGCTTCGGGTGAATTTTCTTGAACATCAGAAATGAGATCATGAAGTTCCATTCAAGGCATATGACCCAGTAGGCACCAATTTAAAGGAAGCTAATTTGTGAATGAGGTAATCCTTGGAGTCAGCCTTTGAGATGCTTGTAAAAGCTGACTTGAGCCAAACCATTAATGTGCAACCAGTAGTTCTTCTGAGTGGCTCAAGTTGATCCCAGTAAATCAATACTCCATCCAAAGGCACTGCCACAAAGTTTGACCTTGAAAAGCCAGCAGGTTCTTGTTGGTTAACTTTGTCTATGCCAATTCCATTGAATTGGTGCCTTAATGGACAATTCCAAAACTGAACTGTTGAAACAGTTGTCTTGTGTGCATTAGAGCCTGGATTGCAATGTCCATTTGCTGTAGTCAGTTTGGTTTCCATGTTTTTGACCCTGATTGGCCCTTTAAGTGTCTGTTTGTTTGGTGCAGTCTATTTTGTATGCCTCTGTCTTGCACAACTGTGCAATGTTTTATGTATGCTGCTGTTAGCGCTGTTGCTGTAGCCAGAGGCAAGTCAAGTCTGGGTTTCAATCATTGAAAAGTCAGTTTTGTGTCTTCAGTTTATTTTTGCGTTTGCTGCCTGATAATCAAAAAAGTTGAACAAGAATGTTTGGCCTTGACAAATGGCCTTTTGGGAACAAACCTCCAAGCCAGTTTCTCAAAGAGTAATGGGGACAGAAGAACTTGTCTAGATGATACAGATGTAGGTAAATTTTATCTGTTTGCAGTACTGCCTGTCCAACTCCTGGCTGAACCTTAACAGAGTGGGCATCCAATCAGAAGGACACTGTGAAACGCACCGTTAGATTCTGGATGAGTGCATTACTATCATTTAACCTAGAAAGCCTGCCTCCTCCCACACGTCTTGGCTGGCTCAAAATCTTGCCTCCACCAAATAGTCTGAGCTCAGGCAGAACAATGATTGATGTGCTGCCGTGGATTTGTTCATGACAGAGATGAATGGTGAGCCTGGGTCCCTGAAGTTGGCAGACTGACCCAGTGATCCCAGCTGTATCCTCCAGTATAGGCATTGAGAAGCAGACCTGGGCATTACATGCCTTGAGGCATCACATTTAGACAGTATTTAGGGATATGAGATTTGTGCCCTTTGGAAGGAAAGAAAGAACATATTTGGTCAGACAGTGGGGCATTAGCAGCAATTGTCCATCTTGGGGAGGATAGTATAGTGTCAGTGTAGTGTGAAGAGAATTTTTTTTTGTCCCAGGAAAGTCACACAGTTGTAGTCAAAGACTGAGCTCTAAACCAACTTACATAAAGTACCAAACGTGACCAATTGTGTGAATGATAATATTTTTGTGACCACTAAGATTGTTTCAGTGAAATGATTAGTCAGAGTTCAAGTCCAGAAAAAACTTCAACATTCCTGAAGTGTAAGAATGAAGTGTTTTGTTATCCTTTCAGCAGTGTACTTTTACCCAATATCAGTTCATCCAGAGGCCACAAAAGCACTCTGATTTCAGAATTGCCACTTGTTGCTTGGTTGAGGGAGAACTATGCAAAAATTAAACTGGTTTGTTTATCCTTAACTGATTCAAGTAAGAATTGCAGCGGGCTAGTCTGAGTTTCAGCTTTGGGTTAGAAAGCCCTTGAGGCAGCTTTCCTGATGAAACATCTGGCCAAAATAAGCTCAAACTCCTTGCAAAGTGAGATGGCAAGCTGGGGGAGGGAGAGGGACAGAAGAAGAGAGAGAAGTCAGTTTATATGGAGAGGGAAAAGGCGAGTTTGCACCTCACTGACTTTGTGATCTTGTTGCTTCGAATTGTCAGTGGCTGTACTTGCACTTTTGAAAAGTGAATGCTGCATGCCAAAAAGAACAAGCCATATGCATGCGAAAACGGGGCTTGCTTGCTCTGTTTTACTGTGTGTTGCGAGGTTATTTCTTCTTATCACATTATTCTCATGGTATTGGGATGAGTTGCATGTGTGTTGGTGGTTAGATGATATGAAATCCCTCTTTCCAGGATTACCTATGCTGGAGGGCAGTTCACTATGAGATCTTGGTGAGATTGCTGTCCGAGAGTGGCTTAAATGGAAACAGCACACTACTTCACATTGATTGGTGCTTCAGTTGAGGGTGTTGACTTGCACAAGATGCCTCTGAGAGCACTCTAAATTCACTTTGAAATCATTCTTCACAATTTTCCTGTGAGGACAGCAAGCGACCTCTGTCATCATTCTGTTCATACAGACTGGTGACTGACCGCCAAGAGCCAACAGTGCAGTCCATCTTGGCTGTGAATGAGTTTTCCAACCTTTCACTTTTGGAGAAACTGTTGCTCTTTCATTGATCTTCACTCCACACCAACACAACCTCTTAACTGAGGTCAGCACCTTAGAGCCCTCCAGTCACACCAGCTGAACTCTTAAAACTGCCTTGCCTGCCGAATAAAGATGTGGATACCTTCTTGCATCCCTCAGTCCTCACCTCTTGTTCCCTCCCCTGACATGCAGCAAACCAAATAACCAAATGACATTGGCAGCTCTCTCTCCGGTATCCAACTTGGATCAATCTCTCCAACTCCCATCCCTAATACTTAGGTAAGTAGAGTTGATATAATGCATCAACTGCATTGAAAGGAGAGCTACAGTCAGATAGATGTAAACCTTGGAACAAGGAATCCTGAGATACATTGAATGCTGAGGAACTGTTCAAAACTGCTGGATTTTAGAAGCATTAGCCTGTAGATCCTGCGGTATGGCACATTTGTCCTCCTTGCAAGTAATAAGATAACAGAGGCCCTTTGCTCCTAGTCATCACACTATTCTAGTGTTGGAGTTGGTCCAACTTGCTTGTTAATTTTTCCCTGTCAAGCCTTCCCTTATCAAAAAGTATCACAATGCAAATAAATTGCTCTAACCTAAGGCCCCTAATTCTTATCCAACACATTTGGAAGGCCTTTTTAGACCTTTGTTTGAAGGGACATCAGCATCCTTTTGTTGCCGTTGCACATTGGAGCATGATAATGACATTATTTAGTTGATTTGATCTCTGACATTTTTTTTCTGAGCTTATGCTGTGCAGACATCTCCAGTCAAGAGATGTCTGTTCAGAGGAGTGGTTGTTCTGAGAGCTGCCAAGGGTTGTAAGTTTTACTTGTTTTGAGCATGGTGATCAAGGGACTGTTGTGAATCAAGTTGATGTAATGTTTCAACTGTGTTGGAAATTGTGCTCCAAACAGATAGGTGTAAACATGGATTGCACGGACACCCTTTGAACCATGAGGAACTGTTGAAAACTGGCCACTATTTGATTTAATTTCTTGTCTTTCTCTTTTGACTCTTCTGTCTCCTTGACTCCACCTCTACTTATTGCAAGGTAAGGAGGGCTCCAATCAGGGTTTCTTCGCCATTCCAACCAACTCTGTACTTACTCTGCTAATGTTGATTTGTTTTTCACCTAACCTTTTTCATTTTTCTTCTTCCTTTTGTTTTTCAATTTGAGATTAGGTACATTGATGATGTAAACGTTGTGTACAATGGAAGCAATATGTTGTCTGAAATCCATTTATGGGTTTAGTTTGAGGTTTATATGGTTTCTAACGATGTGTACACCTTTCTACATGCCACTGAGACCTACCTGCTGTAGACTGAAAATATTATTTGGTTTGGAATATTTGTAGTCATTTGAAAATGTTAAAATGATGTTTGACACTAGGCTGAAAGTTTAATTTCTTTTGACCCAAAGAAATCAAACTTGTCACTGTAACTGCTGAAGTAACACAGGAAACTTGCAACAGAGATCATGTTTGGTTTTGTATAAAAGCAGCTAGCGAGAACTACTAGCAAATTAGCCATCATGTGCAAGATTCTTGTATTTTCTTTGAAGGCCTGTGTGCTGGCTTGGATTCAGCATTCACTCAATGTTGACTGGATCATTGGTCTTTCATTTCTCTTGTGGATAAAATGAGACATCCTCTTCATTCCTACATACATTATAACAGTCTTATAATGACCTTGTCCCTCATCTCTCTTTCTGGTAGGTTTATGTCTGGATTGGTGCTGTCTACTGTTCCAGCTATGAACTCGAAAAATTTCATTGACTATTTCCGATTTCCATCCTTACCTTGCTTTCACCTTGTCCATCTCTAATTCTTTCCTTCCTCGTCTTGATGTCTGTTTTTTCATTTCTGGAGATAGGCTTTATTCTGATTTTCACTCCAAATCCACAGACTCCCACAGTTCCCTCAACTATATCGCCTCATACCCTGCTTTCTGTGAAGATTCCATTCTTTCTCCAGGTTTCTCCATCTCTGTCACATCTGTTCTGATGACACTGCTTTCCATGCCACAATTTGTGATGTGTCTTCTTTTTTCTTCCTAAGCAGGGAGAAGATTCCCGTTCAGCATAGTTGGTCACTGTTTCAGTTTGTTTCTGCTCTCGCCAATTCCTGTCCCTCCCAGATCCATGAACGTGTTTTGCTTGTGCTCACCTTTCACCCTCTGCATTCAGGAGATTATCTGAAGGCATGTCCACCAGCTCCAGTGTGTTGCAGCCACCAAGTGCACCAACACAGCCTTCCCCTTTGAGCATTGAGCACAGGGCCAGACCCTCTTCAGCACCTTGTTCCACTGCCTCGTCCATCCTGACACTCCTTGCCTTGCAACAACACCTTTCTGTGCAAGCGTAGAGGATGTAATACCTGCCCTTCCACCTCCCCCCTTGTCACTGTCCAATTTTCCACGCAAGTTATCAGAATTTACATGTGTTTCTTTCAAGATAGTCTACTGTATTTGCTGCGAATGATGCGGTCTTCTCTAAATTGGGAAAACTAAGTGCAGACTGGGTGACCACTTTTCAGAAAACACCCAGTTTGATTGTAAGCATGATCCTGAACTTGCTGAACTTGTGATTGCTGGTCATATTAAATCTCCAGGCTGGCCACACTCTGATCTTTATTGTCTGCCACAGTGTTAGAATGAAACTTAACACAAGCACAAAGAGCAGTACTTCACCTTTTGGTTCAACATCTAACAGTTTCTGGACTCGACATATGAGTTTGATTTAGTTTGTATCCTCTGCATTGACCTTGCCCTGTTCCGTAAGTTTTATTTTGCTAGTCTTCATCTCATTTTTTTACTTTGTCTTTTCATGTTGCATTGAGAAGATTTTTATGTAGCAAGGTCACACGTCATTTCGACGCATCCTTTGTTTCTTCACTGTGTCCATTGTCACTCTTTGTGACTGTTGCATCAGGAAATCTCTTGTTTAATCTCTCCTGGCTTCTACCTTGTCACAGATCCTGTTTGCTTATCCTGCCTTCTCTTGCTGGTTTAAAAACCCAGATGTTTCTGTTTAGCTTCAGTTCTCGTGAAAGGTTATCAACATGAAATGTTAACCCTGTTTCTCTCCACAGATGCTGCCTGACTTGCTGAGTTTTCTTTCATTCTTATTTCTTCTAATTTGTCTGAATGACCTCCAAGCTCAGGATTCTTGACTTATCAGCAGCAGCGTCATAATCCTGTAAGATTGGGAAGGGACATGATTCAAGCCTGTTTCAATGTTTCTGGAACACTGATCTCTGTGACCAAATTCAGCCTGAGTGCTGGATGTTGTAGTTGATGTTAAACTCTCACTAGTGAACTTGATCTCCATAAAAATCCCAGCTGGAATTTCTGGATTCTTTTCATCCTTGCTGTTTTATGAAGCAGTGAACAGCTCCACAAACCGCACTTAGCAGCAATGACCAGTTTAACTTTATAAAACACATTTTTGATTTTGGGCAAAGCCAGCATTTATTGCTTATCCCTAATTGCCCTTGAGAAGGTGAATGGTGCCTTTACTTCCTGGATCAGCTGATGTGGTCAGGCTCCTCATACAGTGCTGTTCGATGGGGAGAAGTTAAATTTTGATTAAGTGATGATATACGAAAGGCCAGCGTATGTCCGTGTAAATTTGATGTGTGACTTGGAGGTGCGGTTATTGGGATGTTGGGGCATGTCTCCTTTTCGTGGAGGGTTTGGGAACAAGAATACCACATAATTTATCTAGGTACAGCCACGAAACCAAGTGTCTGCTGTTTTTTCCCAAGAATTTGAGTACATTATTGATATGTGTTCAGCAAATTTCAAAAGCGAATGTCTTTCTCGCCAAGTTCAATTATAGCTAATGACCTTTGTGAGAGACGACGAGCAGAGCCAACCATTTTCTTTCTGTTTCCACTCAGAGATGATTATTGGACGTGGAAGAATTTTTTTTTTGATTTTTCTTTTCCCCACAAGATTTGTTTTGAAAAGATGTGTTGGATGAATTGAACTGAGGCTCCAGTAAAAGTGGGGCAGTTTGTCATCCCACATTTGCTTCAGGGACACTTGCATTTGAACTTGTTGTTTTGAGAGCGGTTTGATTTTGCTATGATCCCGTGAGATTATCTTCTTGAATTATGCACCAACTGCAGCCGTTCTTGTAAATTTGAACACTGAGGATGAGAACATTGCGAGGAGGTTACTACAAAGCAGACAAGTACAGTTACCAGTATCTCTCAGAGCTTCGATTGAAGGCATGTTGCTGTCTCAGGATGTTGTTAAGAATTAATCCTTTCCAGCTGAAACAGTCCTCAAACAATTCAACAAAAGGGCCTCAACTTTGAATTTAAGACTCAATCTCATAAACTAATTTTGGACTAAGAATTTCAATGCAAAGGTTATAGATTGCTCCAGAAGAATTATTTCCATCTGAAATAACTTAATAAGTTGCACTTGGAAGGTTGTTGAATGCAGGGTAGAAAATAAATTCTTGGATGAATTTTTGAATTGAGAAATGGACCCATGGTGAACTCATCCTTGTCACAGGTTTGTGCAAATTTGCATAACAAGTTCTCAGATTTTCAACTGTGGGGCATCTGCCTCAAAGCCAATCTTGGTATGCGTTGTCTGAATAGCTGCAGTGTCTCTGGAACATTAGTTAGTATATGTCACTTCCACCTATTGACAGATCAGTGACTCTTGTGTCTACATGGTGAATGAAATAGACACCTGTCACAGGTTCTCACTGGACCACTAACAAAAGACTTAATCTTACAAGGGACTATACAAGAGTTTGATGAGGAGTGTGGTCAGAGTTTTTGATTGGAACGAGAATGGTGTCATATATCATTGCAGTAACACAAGCTAAATTTACATATTGTAATGTTTGCATCGAACCCACATTTTGTTTCATGGTTTACCCACTTCATGAGTCATTGGCATTGCATTTGAAAAATCAAACTGTTGCAGAACAATTAGAATTACCTGGAACAATCTCTTACTGAAGTATGGTGGACCAATGTTGAGACAGTGAGGAGAAATGACAGTGTCTGACCGAGAATTATGATCTTTTGACCATCTTCATTTTGAACAGTGAACTTGTGGCTCACTGACTGTTGCACTGCATGACTTGTGAACTCTCCCAAAGCCACTCTTTTAAGGATGGGCTGGGGGGTTCTTTGGATGGACAAGCTATAAGATGCACTGGGGCAGCTGGGCCATTTGTAGAGGAACTCGAGAAGCTTAAGGTGCTGTACACGCAGCCGGAGTTGGGCAGGTATTGGCACTGTGCCTGCCACACGAACAAACAAGTGAATCAAAGACCCTGTTGATCTATGCATGTCATCAAGTGTCTGGTGTATCCAGCTGGATGACTTGTCATTTGACAGTATACTGTGTTTATCATTGTTTCAGCATAAGGTAACAGTTAGATTGTAACCTGACAGCACGGTTATGGGTTTCGTGTGCGAGTCAAGACCTGAATGTAATTTTCTTTTCTTTTCCCTTTTTAAAATACAGCAGCCAAAAGTTTATTAAACAAGAAGGCCGATGGAGTCAAGGTAGGTTTCCTGCTTAACTTTCCTTTTCTTCTCAGTCAATTGATCCTTATTTGCCTTTATTTTTATCTTTTTACTTTGCACTTTCTGGCTTCTGTTAGTGCCTGCTATCACAGTTGAACAATACAAAAGAGATCTTTAAGAACAAAAGGCAAGAATTGTATATCATGTTCAGAACTATGAAATGCCCTCTAAAATGGTAGCACAGCGACAAAATGGGTGGCCGCAGTGAATCAACGTTTACATATGTCTTTGGGTAAGGCACTTTGGTGCATCTCACCCAACAGCGATTGTACAGGGAAGTGTCAAACCAATGGCTTTCACTTGTCACAGCCTTTGACATTTATTTGGTAGAGCGGACAATTTTTTTTAAACTCTTGCTCCCCACCTCAGTTTCCCCAGCAAGCTCTGCCCTCCATGCCTCCTGCATCCACACAAACAATGTCACACACCCTGCACTGTGACATGATGCACACAAATGGATTAATATCCAGGCATATTTCAGCAGGGACAACAAGGTGTAGAGCTGGATGAACACAGCAGGCCAAGCAGCATCAGAGGAGCAGGAAGGCTGACGTTTCGGGTCTAGACCCTTCTTCAGAAAAAGGTTGGTTGGCGGTCAGTGGCTAGTGGTGTGCCTCAGGGATCAGTGTTG